GTGTGTGTGCGGAGTGACAGAATGCCCTGTCACCACCCTTTCGGGTTCTCAGCAGGGGGGTCACCCGCAGTCACGACCGGTGACCCAACGAAGAGGGTCGTGACCTGCGCTGATATCTGACCTGATCAGTCAGACGTACCTGCCGAGATGGTTGTGTTGTTCTGAATGTCCTTTTGGTCCCCCCCTGAACCGCCGTTGCTTCTGTGTGTCCCTGTTGAAGTAACTACAGGGAAGCCAAGTGACCAGCAAGCCGATGGGGTTTGTCCCCAGTTGTACTCAAGACTCATCAGTTGTACTCGAGACTCATCAGTTGTCTCGAAAGATTAGCACTCTCCATGTGGAGTTTAAGTGTGTACACCCCATTCGTGGGGAATCCTCGGGTGTACCCATTGTGTGACCCCGGGCCGGCTCTGTCGGAAAATTTGACCTCAACGTGCTTATCATAGAACAGCGGAATTTCACATTTAACCAGGAACGAGGTTTCACTAAAGGGAAGACAGCGGTCGGATCATAGAGACGTCTCACCACTGATGTTTGCGTTTGCTTGCCATTTGTTGGATTCGTTGATACCTTGCCGTTGCATGGATTTGCTTGTTGTCTGATACGTGTCTCTCAAGATGGAAGCGTGAAGATTGAGAGTCGATTGTGTAACCATGTCTCGACGTGATGATCGTGATAGATCCAGGACTCGGCGCAGACGTGATCGGAGTACTTCTCCTCAGGCTCGTAAAGCACACCGACGTGAACACAATGACCACCACGTCTCGGAAGGCATGGATTGGAACAACCTGGTATCTTGGCAACACAATTCCGGCTACAACTCTGCCAACAATTTCCCGATGATGCCCACCAATTTTCAATCGACTCATAGTCCCACACAGCAATTCCAACATCCAGCGATCAACTACATGATGCCGATCCCTCCAGACCCCACGCCAACGAAGTTCATGCCACCCGTGATGCCACCACCGGTCACTACCCCGCAACCTACACCGCCACCTGGACCTCCTGCGGCTCTACCGGTTCGTCCTCAGAAAGCCTGGCTTACACCATCGCCTGACTGGACACCTGGAGAGGGCATGTTTGATGTCAATCAGCTCTACAACTTCAGCCTGCCCATGACCGTTGCCAACACTCCGCATGGCAACCTGCGCGACATGTCAGGCATGGATATTCGTGACGTTCGCCTGGTTCAGGTTATTCATGGGGGCCTCACCAACTGGCTGCTCCGACCGTTCGCTCACGGCAGATTCGTGACATGGGAAGGCTTTCGCACTCGCACCGAGGCCTTACTTTGGAGTACCTGTTCCAAACTACTACGACGATCACAGTCGATCAACCTGCTCACCCTGGAAAAGGACCTTGCCAACTCGCTGGGTCTCAACATCGATGACTTCAATCAGCGGATCAAGGTTCATGACCATTTGGCCAGCTTGGTACTTCAATTTCTTCAGCAACATCACACCTCTCTCACACCTTCCACCCAGACAGATGACATGGTCAAGAAGTACAATGATCTAAATCGTGCGCATGAACTGCTCCAAGCTCAGTATTCAGCATCGCTGCGCGCTTCGACCTCTCCCACGATGGCAAGCCAGAAAGATGATGCAGAGTTGGTTACACCGCCACCGGTCAACCACACACAATCCTCGTCACCTGCCAGCTCCCTCCCTACAGCCAGCGCAGCGGCCCTTGATGGCAAGTCGTTTGATAGCGCGGTGCAACCCCGGATCATTCAGTCTCTTCACGGAGTGTCTTCACCGCCGTCCAAGCCGGCGGCGTCACAATTGCTCACCATGCACAGCACGCCGGAAGAAGTTGTCAAGTACTACACATGGACCAGTGACCAGCCACGCCTTTATCTCAAGCAATCGCCCACAACCACAACTTTGACGTCACTGGTCAAGTGGGCCAATCACCCTTCCCGGCTCAACGGCAACAAGTCATTAGATTCCATGGCGACGCAGCTCCTTCAAGCGCGTCAACGCATGCCGAAAGGCGACGCACCTACTCTCGGGGCGATGGCGGCTTCGTGGGGACTGGAGCCCGGCTATCTCACCAAGCTCACTGAGAAGGCATTGAGTCACCTCATCGTGACCGCTCGCTTACTCAGCGGATGAGCAGGCATCTTAACGACCTTCGTTCTCTTATGAGCCCGGAGCGGCAACCGTGTCACGGATGAGTCAAGGTTAAAACTCGTCCGTCATCTTTTTGCGTTGCATCAGTTTGATCTTGTGCTTGGTTGTGCTTGCATTGCCTTGTGCGTGATTGTCTGTGCAGCTTGTATCCATGTTGCCGCCTTATGGTAGATTTCATTGGTTGCATTTTCACCATGTTGGATGAGCTTCGCCGCTGTGGAATCTATGATGATGTTGCACAATGGCAGTCTCTGGGCAACTTTTTACACTCGTTGACCATGTTCTCTACGTGCTGGCAATACTGCTACCACCACCGTCGATACCAGCTGATGAGTACGAATCAATCACACAACTACCGTGGTTGGGCCTCATTCTGGAAGTCTTAGTTGTGGTCCGGATTGCCCTTCAGATTCCGAATCACGCTATGTCACACTCTCAACACACTGTGGCCAACAGGTATGAGATTCATAGATGTCGGTGCACTGCCTATTTATTGATCAGTTTCTTACAACGTCTCATTTCCCAAGATCATGGCTACTTTCCGCCGTTCTTTGAAGTCCTTCACTTCTACAAGGCTTCTCTCTTGTGTGAAATTATGCACTCCACTTTTGCCGACACGCGACATCTTCGCTCATTGCGGGCACGATTTCCGGACCTCTATGACTTCATTCACGATCCAGGTCATCATCAACAACCGTGCGTCTACATCCGACTTTCCCCATGGCACACACCTTACTACGTTGGTGCGACTGATCAGGATGTTCTACGACGTGAACACTCACGCAGTCGCAAATTTCTACAACTACTTCGGGGACGTCATGCCTTCTTCGAACCCGCGCTTCACTACTGGAAGCGATCCAATACTTACTGGCTCTTCTGTGCTGTTCCGGTTGAGATCAAACTTCCCGTTTCCTCGGTTTGGGTCCAGGAAAGCAAATGGCAATACCTGCTACGCCCGCATTTGAATGCACCCTGGGTACACAGACTTCTGCGAAAGGTGGGCTTCCGGGAACACCTCGTTGATTTTCGACGTCACTCGTTGTCGTCTCCCACTTCCCTCGGCTTGCACAAACGCTTTCGACGACGACTACATCCGGATCTTCAACGGCAACTACGTCCCGACATGCTGGATGACATTCAGGCCCAGTACTCTATTCTCTATCAGCTGGGATCCAATACAGGTGCATCGTTCCAAGCCATGCGTGACCTTCTGTCGGCAGCTTTCCCTCCTACTCAGCTTTACTACTTCTGCGGCTCTCCGTCTTTGTCAACGAGCCCTTCCGCTCCAAGGCGCAGAAACTCCTCGCCCAGGTGTTACGCAAACGACAGCTACAATCACCCACCACTTTGACACAACTACTCCTACCGCCTCTACATGTCCGGAATTGGAAAGCTCTACTTGGCACATGGTTACAAAGCTGGATTGCTTCTCATCGTGATTTGTTTCCCTCCCTTTTCCTTCCAAAGATCCGGGTGGTGGAAACTCGCAGTGCCACGTTGGGCGACAAGATCTACAACTACCGCACATGGCAGCGCAGATGGACTCCTGAAACATCTTTTCCGTGTCGCTGTTTGGACATCGATGATCACCATATACACCGAGCACATGGACATGCTGTAATGGTTGATGAGTTCTCACGCATCAATGCGGACATTGACATGGAAATCATGGCCGCGTCAATGAAGGATCAGTATTTCGGTGATGTCGACTTGTTACATCAACGTTTCACTACGC